AAGATTATTTTTTCTTTTTGATACTTTGACATGGGAAACTGTTCCATTTTCATTTGCTCCAAGACCCTTGCCTTCTGACCAACCCATTTTGGACAACATCCTGTAGCCATATTTGTTTGTATCTAAGAAAAGGACAAAAAATAATCTACTAATAACCTAAATAAATTAGCAATCTTATTATGTGTGGGTTTAAAAGGTTCTTCAGGGAACATTATAATTTTTTATTACATTTCAAGAATCATATCATTGAGTGTCCCTAATTCTAATTTAAATCTAAAAAAGGAACAAAATTATATTTAACTAACAAAAACTACCTATCGGACACTCTGCACGGTAAAAGCACCCAATAATACTTTGAAGAGTGTTAGACAAAAAGCACTTTTGTATCCTATTTTTGACTATTTCATGCCAACTTCAAATTTTTGATTACCAAATTTTGATTTTTTTGATTATGTGTACAAAATCTTTTCTAGAAATTTTGTTATTTGTCATTAAAAGGGATCACGATAGGACAAAATTTTCCATCCACACACTTATTGCATATTGGCCATGCAAAATCCCTATTTAATAACAACTTATGTTATTAACACTACAAATTTCTAAATTTGCGTGGTTTTACGGGCGCAGTCACAAATTTTCAAAATGAACTTGTCTGCACAAGAAATAAAGTTTCCAGCAGTCTGGTATAGATAGATAGGGGAACCCTTTTGTTCTCGGTGTTTTGCTATTATTACTGACATGCTTATGCATCAACTTGGTGATTAATCAATCAATCAAGATAAGCCTCAAATTTTAAAAGCTTAAAGTTAAGCATGCTGTTTTCATTTTTCTGTTTATGTCAATTTAATTTTGTATCCATGATAATAAACTTATTCAAGATCCATATTATCATGAAACAATACATTAGTCAAATAATAAGTAAAACTTTGCATCAAATTCATTTATAAAAGGCTTTTAGCATCAACAGAAAAGTAAATATGCATTATTTTTGGAAAATTTTGGTTGTCCTCTTCTGATAAGGAAAGAGATATTTAGGCCACGACGATTAATGTGTTCCTCTTTTTTCGTATTAACGACTTATCAAGCTGCTAAATAGAGACATCCTTACCCTTGGACCAATTCAGATTTCTTGGATCTTCGGTCCATTTTTGCTTGTACCGTGGCTCTGCCAACATGTTCTTATTTGTGCAATGTCGAAAAGGAACTCTTTTGTTTAAGCCTCCTTTAAGAATTATTGAAAACGAGAATAGGCCCCTTTGAATGCTGTGCAGTGCACATTGATGGCAGAGTTCTGGAGTTTCGTAGATGATAATTTAAGACGTCCTTTTGTTCAAGAGCATAAACAGGTTCAAAATGCCTAAGTGAGTGAAACATTATTATTTTAAGTTGCTAGCAATAAAATTTCGAACTCAAAAATGTACGCAATACTCAAATTTTGCCCCATCCAAAGTCATGCCATATACCATTAATCTATTATACTAAGACCCCGGCCTACTTTTTGTCCACAAACGTCATTCAGCAAAAACCTAAGTACATTTACTAATTCATTTGTGTTGGCTATTTAATATTATTACCTTTATTCAATAATTTACTAATGACCAGCCAAATCTGTGCGTAAAACCTTTTACTTTTATAACTTTGTACATTATTCTTACAGATATAGATAAATAGAATATGCCCAGTTCAGTAGCTCAGTAGGTAGTTTAGAGCACTCGTACTGATTTGAACAACACCAAATTGTTTCACTTTTTCTGTACTCCAATGTTTTGACAATTTATTATATTTTACAATTGTTTAATTAATCTTTTCGGCTAAAGACAGTATCCAGTATGCAAGAGTATTTGTGTTGCCTGTATGCAAGTATAACCATTTTTGACAAGCTCTTGGGGGGGGGGGTGCCAACAACCATGCACCTCAGGTGAGGTGCGCAGAGATTACCAAAAAGTGCCAAGTGTACCAAAAACTATCAATTTTTCACGATATAAGTTGAATAAAGGCTAGTTTTGAGGATGCCTCTTCAATGATACCATGTTGGCATCTTTGGTGCACCTTTGCCTTGCTCTGCACACCGGCTGTGTTGGAGACTTTGATAGCAGGTGCAATAAACTTTGCAACTATGGTTATCATTAATGTCTTCTTTGAACTATAAAATCGGATTTGTGTTACCTATGGCTAGGAAATAAATATTTTCATGGAAAAAACCGAAAACCTTTCCATCAGCTCACTAAAAGTATGGTTCATACTAGGATCACATTGTTACTTGTGACAATGTTGAAGCTTAAAATGCATATATGCTAAACCTGCAAATCTGCTAAATTAGTTTCTCCAAATTTTCAAATTTGATTAACATTAAACCCAATCATTGTCACAAAAGTTTAAATTAAGTTGACATTTTTCTATTCAGTAAATTATTTGGCTTTATTTTTCAGATATTTTTGTGACTATTGTGATACATACCTTACACACGATTCAGTAAGTCATTGTTATTTGTTACTATGTTAAAGGTTGCATTTAGGTTTTAGAAAAAAACTTAGAAATTTTCTTTAGAATTCAATAAAAGATGGCCTTTAGAACAAAATGTGATGATCACATACAGAAATGCATTTTTAACAGGTAACATAATTTGGATGCACGAGAACAACTGTCTTTCTTTCTTATCTCAGAATAACATTTTAAACAATTATTTGACAAAAATACATAAATTTATTTTTTCATTTCATTTACTTTCCATTGGTAATTTGTGGAAGAGAGAGCTCTCTATTTCTGCATGACCAATTATGCAGGCCAAAACAATTTTTTAGAATCATATCGCAAAATACTTTACCAAATCAACATCTTCCCTCGATATTTATAAATGGAATTTAGATGAATTACCAAATCAATCCTTCCAAGAAATCATCCCCCTCTGTGGTTCCACCCTTGTACAAATGCTATACTTTTGCAAAGTTTGAAGTCTTTGAAAAACTCAACACCAAGGTGTATTTTTAGACAAGTTATTCAAAGTGGCCTTTTCATTTTTAGCCATCAGTGAGAAAAACACACAACAGTGGAAGAAAGCACAAGGATAATGTAAAATTTTATTACACAAAATGGATGGAAGAGCAAGCCCAGCAGCTGATTGATCAAACAAGTAATTTCTGCAAACTTCCTTTTACCCTCTCATTGAAATGCATAGTAGTGTTTTTAACTCAGTGGTAGCTGGCACACAAAATAAGATAGTACTAGTAATGCAAACCAGCTAAGGAAAGAGGGGCTCAAAAATGTTTGCTTGTTAGCCAAAAGCCAAATTGTCTTTCAATGGCAGGTCATAAGTTTTCTAACATACTTTTGAATACTATGGTTTGTTTGACATCATTTGATACTGCTGAAAAGTCAACCTGTTAAATTGGCCACACAGCATTATACCACTAATAAGGTGTATATCACTAGGAAGAGGAATCTAGTTTGTTTTACATTTTGTTGAGTCACAAATGACATTGTTTTGCTCTTTTAGTCAAACAAGCTGAAAAGACAAAGCAAACAACAACCACACCCAATTTGCCAGGAATTGCACTGCCTCCTGGCATGACACTACCTCCTGGAATTCCCATGCCACCACCAGGGATGATTACTGGTATGATGATGCCACCAGGTATGCCAATGCCAGGGCCTCCAGGCTCAATGCCACCACCACCGGTTGCTGCAGGAGGACCTCCTAGACCAGGAATGCCAGGACCCCCAGTTGGCACACCTTCAAACAATGCTCAGCCAATGCCAAATGGACAGCCAAGACCAAATATGGATATGCCAGATGGACCACCTGGTATGGATGGACCCCTTGGTGCTGGAGGGAGAATGCCTCCAAATATGGGGAGAGACAGAAATGGACCAGGAATGCATAGGGACAGGCAAGGGATGGGCAGAGGAAGAGAAGGACCGCCAGTCAACCCAGAGAGAATGGAAATGATAAACAGGGATGGGGATCGAAATAGAGGCCCACCTGGACGAGGAATGGATAGAGGAAGAGGCGGCGGGCCTATGAGAGGTGGCAGACCAATGATGGGTAGAGGAGGTCCCCCAAATATGGGTATGGATGGCCCACCAATGGATCAAGATGGGAGGCAAATGAGGAGGGATAGTAGACCATCACCATATGGGAGACCTGGAGGTCCACCAGGAGGTCCACCAGGGGGTCCACCAGTGGGTCCACCAGTGGGTCCACCAGGGGGTCCACCTGGGGGTCCACCTGGAGATGGACCACGAAACATGAGAGGTAGAGGAGACTCAATGGAAGAAGATCAAATGGACAATTCATTTCCACCTCCAATGAGGGGCGGGAGAGGTCGTCCTGGCTTTAGGAGATAGATATAAGCTGTCTCACTATTTCTAGGTAGGGCATATTAGTTGTATTTGTATATTGTATATTTTGTTTTTATTAAATCTCCTGTTCTAGATGTTACTGACTACTGATCATTATTTGCTGCTAATTGTTATAAGGCTGTTTTGAATGTTTTGTTTGAAAAAGTTGAAAGTGAATATTTTGACAGCAGATGCAATTAACCGATCAAGTCAATCATAAAATTATGAGCAATTTTCATCTGGGCAGGCAAGTTAGTCACAAATTGTTGTGCAAAATTTACTAAAACTTAAAAGGTGTCAGTTTATCACTTGTTCAAAGGAAATTATGATTAAAAATATGTTGAAAGGAATTATATATCTTTATGACATTATAGTAAGTGATCATGTTATGAAAAGGAGTTTCAGATAGCTGAAAGCTTATATTTTAAGATAATAATTGAAAACTTGTTTGAATAGCAAGAAACTTTGAGTAAGTACTAGTTTCAATAAATAAAAATTGACATACAGAATAAATCAAAAGAGAAGAGCAATGATTGTAATGGAGCCATTACAATTCACTTTTCCATGCCACACTACAGTTCAAATGGTGTAAAAAATTCTAATTTACACAAGCATACAAGGACTATATTTATTATTTTTAACATGAGTGATGTCACTCCTGCAGTCATATCACTGTTTAGGCACTTAAATCTTTTCGTAAAAGCAATCATAATTCCTCTATTTTCTTCTTACTGATACATTTTGTCAATCAATAATGTGAAATGTAAAAAATAAATATGGGTTTTTGAGCAAAAAGCAATTACAAAATGTCAAATAGGCAAATTTAGAAGTAAAGTATCCTTTAAAAAATTTTTTTCCATGCAGATAACATTCCGTTCAACCCAAAACAATACTTGAGACATTCTGAGATGCATTCTTCTTTGATGGGCTTGATGGTGCAGCTTCTGCAAATGAGAGATTAAGCTTTAAATTTAGCTGACAAGAGTGTTAGAAAAATTTCTCGAAATGGTATTGTTGCACTTCAGTGTCCAAGAGCCTTGAAAAGTTGTGATAACCTTTTGAAAAACTACTTGGCCTAGTCAGTTAAGCTTTAAACTTTAAAAAGATTTCCTTTGATATCTGTAGCTGCTCGAATCATAAAACTTAATTTACCATTTAAAGGAACCGATTATTATAAAAAATAAAGAAGTATCTTTCTGGCTTGGCTGGTAAAAACCAATTATAACAACGGACCCTTTACAAGAAAGGGGAAAGGCAATGGTAAATTGTAAAAAATGCAATAATTTTTTTGGGCACCTTGAGTCTTTCTTTTCTCTCCAAGCTCTATTACTGGTCCAGTGTATGGTTCACGATCAACCTTGCGTGGTTTGCAGGTCTGTAAGAAAAGTTAGGTTATTTGGCAAATAACCATTCAAAGTTTTATGAATCTTCAGAAGACTTTAAGAAAAGCCTTATGACAACAGAATATAGCAACATCACAAAAATTTTGCTTTTACTTAAAAACCACCCTTAGATCATTGATGTTTGAAATATTGGAGGTCTTGACAAATAAAATATACAGGTTCAGTTTTGGTAACAGTAAATATGAACAGGTTTGAGTTATGGGGAGAATATTGAAACCTGAAATTACCTTTTCCCTCTGAAGTACTCTATTGTAGACATAAGCAGAGAATGGATTTCTTGGGATATATCTTCCAGAGCCACGTTCAATGAATAGCTGTTAGAAAATAAGGGTAAAAGTCATGAAATACAAAATTATTCATATTTGACAACCTAATAAAAACTTCTGAATAAGAATACATATGAAAGATTTTAAAAAGCATGATGAAAACGAATTGGAAAGGGAATTGTGGGATTTAAAAACAGCAAAGTGCTGATAAGCAGCAAAAGTGCAAATGGAAGATACAAGGTGATATATTTCGTACCCTGTTATTCTCCCAAACAACTTTTCCTCTGCTTATGGTGACTGTAGCAACACCATGGCATTCCATCCCTTCGAAAATATTAAAATCCACAGCCTACAAGAAAAACAATCAGCAATGGAAATGATAAAGCTCAAAACAGCAAAACTAGCAGCAGAAGTAAAAATGACATTCACTTCTCTCTCTATAAAGCAAATAACTGTATAAAAGGAAAAATAATGTGTAATTAGCAAGAACAACAGACTTGGAAAATTTAAGAAACAAAAACTCAAGCACTGCATAAAGGGAAGGCCAATGCTTACTGGCAATTATGGACAGTGTTTGGACAGTGTTTGTGCACTTAGAGGCTGACAGTAGATCAGTCAGAATATTGGTTTAATATGGATAACACGAATAAGATAAGCATTTGGCATAGATACCATAGTTAACAATGAATAGAAAAGCATTTTCGGGCAAGTCTACTGCTAAGACTGTAACAAGGAATGGACATACAGCTCTATGCAAAAATAAGAGCATAAACCTAGCTGGATGACTGGAATGGAATGGAAGATTTGAACTAATCACAGCTTCTGTATGTGATTTGCTTTGTTTTCTGTTTCTGTTGTGTTCAAAGTCAAACAGGCTTATTCTTTTAATTCAAATATCTTGCTGCACCTAAGTAGAAACAGAATCAAATGGATCCATTCCACCGACCAAAGTTTGAATGTGGTCTTTATTTTTAAACTAATTACCTGATGATGCGTTTTAGCAGAAATTGTTCTCTTTGCATGTGGATCCCAAACAACTATGTCTGCATCAGAACCAGGTGCAATGCAACCCTATAATCAACAAGAAGTGAAGTGAGTGTTTCACTATTCTATTCTGAGAAGAAAAGAAGAATCTGAAATGAACGTTTACTCAAATCTTGTCAAAATAAATGAATGCATCATATGGAGCAATACCTTTGTCTTCTTCAGTCCTAATATATTTAGGAATTGCTTTATAGACCAAATAAATCGAAAATTAAAATGTCATCAGAAATACAGTTGAGAATTATTGCTTTAGTGCCACTACCTTTCTTGGGTAAATATTGAAAATTTTGGCTGCTGTAGTACTAGTAACTGAAACAAATCTACAAGGATCCATTTTTCCATTGTGCTAAAAACAAAAAAAACATCATTCAGAGACATTCAGATGAACAGCTTGCTATGGATCTCAGTATGAGGCCTGTGGAGATATACATAGATGTATATTTTCAATCTTTTGATTTGGGGCCTTTAGTACAGACAAGAGGTTTTTCAACATTCTAATGCAATGTCTTTCATTTTGAATAGCAATTTTTAATACTGGAATTAGGCACCAAGGAACTATTCAGCTGCAAAAATTAAATTCCCAGGGGGGGGGCACCGGGACCGGGGGTCACTGGGAGGGGGGTCACCAGGACGGGATCATCAAAATTATGGGACAGGATGTTATAAACTGCATCAACAATCAGCAATAGGGTATCAAAATTTAGGAAATTGTTTGGGACAGGGTATTTAGAGGAATAAGATAAAAATTCTTTCAATTATCTGCTCCCACAAATCAATCGCATTAGTCACACTGCAGATCCTCTTTCCCCTCAGGTAAATTGTGGCAATTTTTGTGACATATAATTGTGACATATTTTTGCATCTTTTATGAGACAGGGTATGTTTTTGGCATATTTGCATTGGGACAGGTTCAAGGTTCCAAACGTTTTTCTCACACCTGTGTATAAACTAAACCTTATATGGTATGTATCTGGAGGGAAGAAATGCTGCATTATCATGTTTATTTTTTCCAAAACCTTAAACTAGTCATGCCTGAACAAAAATAGAAGGAAACCGAAAATTTGTGTAATATTTAATTTTGGTATGGAACTTCGTGAAAAAATCTTCACAAAGAGCGCTTTCCTTATTCCCTTGGCTTGACCTTCAAAGTATAGACCATCATGGCATGGGGGAATAGACAACAGAGTATCAACATTTGTTTGTACTTTTATGTTATCAACCGCTTCTGAACTTTCAGAGCACAAAAATAGAAGATTTTATAATTCTTGTCATCGAATTAGTTGAGAGTTGTTGTATCATCAGTTGACTTAAGACCTTTCAAACATTTTGGTTTGCTCTGCTATTATTCAAAGAATAGCTTCTTTTCAAGGATTTTAAACTATTTGTTCAAACAATTTTTTTTTAAAATTGGGTTTGGTATGAAGAATTAAAAAAACTAAAAAATTGTGTACAGAGTTAAAATCTTTTAGTAATATCGAAGAAGCATAACATTAAGGGGGCATAAATAAAAAGGTGCAACCAAACATACATACAAGAATGCAACGTTAAAACCCTTGTCACAAAAAAGATAGCTTACCACACCCTTTTCCCAAATTACTGACATCCTGTCCTCGACTCCTAAAAAGAACAGTGCAAGCTTAAAATTCATTAATATAACAAAGCAACATGTTGAGATCACACACTGAAGTGGTAGATTAATGTGCCAACAATTAATGTGGAAAAATTAATTTAAAAAATAAATATGCATGATGACATAAAGTTGACACTGCTCTCAACCTATACATTCTCTTCACTCATTGTCTATACTTAATAAACTATATCTTTTGAACCATTCTTATGTTTATTCAGAACATTAGAAGTTGTTCAGTCTCGAACTTCAACTGCATCAGGAACCGGAAACAGCTAACTTGATACGTTATGTACCATATCATTTTATACTCAGTATTTAATGACCATGGTCTATCCAAAAAACAAAATAAAAGAATTGCAGGTTTCCTGTTTATTATATGTATCAACTTAATTCCTGTCTAATCAATGAAACATGTTGATTGAATGCTAACCGTTAACGCCATTGGGAATTCTTCTGAAGTCGTCTTTGCCAAGCGCTTTTTGGTTTGCATTAAACGTGCAATTGTCTGTGCCAGTACACTGTAGATCGCCGCTAAGGTTTTTAAAGAACAGACTTCAGTCTTGGAGAAAGTCTCAATAAAACCTCAACATTTATTTAGAAACAGCAAATCAACTAAAAAAGGAGCAGCCGATTGATACAGGGTACGTATCGAAAGGGGCAGTCGATGGCAACCAGCTCAATTACTAAGATACATGCTGGATGTAACAATTAACGTCTACTCGAATGTCAAGTTCTACCAGATTTTTTGTAGAATAAAACGTTATATTCAATCCATGTTTTCCTTAATACTTACTTAATATTTAAACTATGGTGCATGTTGATTGCTAACAACACTGATCAATTCGCTAAAGGCCTTGAAAAACGGCATTCTGAAGCGAATTTGAGTACATTGAGCTGTAGACACTCTCTAAATAGAACGAATTGGCTGTCAAGTTAAAAACTTATGGCTTTTAGCCAAAACCCCTAAATACGGATGAAAATACTCAACTAATTAAGACAAATAAAGTTGATTATGTAAAAGCAATGCACTCAATAACATGGTTTTAATTTGCATATTTAGAATTCATAGCTTCGAAAAGGAAGGGCTGATTTGGCTTTGAAAATTACAGTTATGGAGCGAAACATACTTTGCAAGAAGCTTCATGAGGTACTCTGGAGTCGATGGGTCAGGACGCAAAGGTGGACCCATCACGTGACCTAGAATCAAAACGGAAAGATTTCAAGGCTTTTGAACAAAAATCTCAGAAAAATAGACGAAGGGGTAGATTTTGAATAGCATTACAAATAATTACCAGCAGCATGTCGCCAACATTTGTGATGATAGTTTGTTCCATCTGTGCCAAGACCTGCTGCTATTGGTTCCCCAAAAGCAACGAATCCCTTTCGTCTGCATTCACTGATGACGTCAGCAGCCGATTTGCTCATTACGTGAACGATGTAAATTGGGCAACTTGCCTAGAGCCAAAGCAAAAACCAATTAAAGATTAAATATAATGACATTAAAATGAAGTGTGTTCTAGCTATTCTCTCAGAGCAGTATGTTGTAAAAACTTATGAAGCATTTTTTTTTTATCATTTCTGTGAACAAACACTTTCTGTGTATCAGACACTGCCTGTAAACTTAGCTATCTCTGGTGTTGGAGAGGAAGAAAAGTCAAAGGTTAAAATGCCACGCACCTGATCAGCAATGACTATTGCCCTGTGGGTGGCTTCACCTTCAACCTGTCAAAGGGCAAAACCAAATTATAGAAATATCTCGTAAAGATCAATTTTTGAGTGTAAGAAACAAGATCACTCATTTCCTGTATTCGGCTAAATAGAAAATAATACTTTGTAAAATGTATTTAATAATTCGGCTCATACAATTGAAGCAAGTACATGGCAAGAGGACATTGCGCATTTTGAGGCTTAAGATTCGAAGCATTCCATCGAAGGCCTTGAAAACCTTTTGATGACTATGATGTTGAACTAAGAAATAAGTGTTATAGATAATCGTGATTGGAACAAAGTGGAGAGTGTTTCGTACTTACATGCTCTGGTCTGCACATTTCGTGTCCTTCAGGGCCTGTGATACCAAGCTCAATCATGACTTTGGAACGCTGAAGGGTTGGTGTTTAAAGATGAAAGTCAGTGTGTTGTCTCTGACGCGGAAAATCATTTAAGCAGGAAGACAACTAGCGTCACAATCTTATACATTGAAGATAAATTAAATCATAATGAAAGGCGAAGAGCACAAATGATAGGCTGTCTGTCAGTTACTGCAGAAAATGCTAACACAGACGTGATGTCAAGTTAGGGAAGGCCGGAATGCAAGACAAGACACAGAAAAAAACAAAATGTATGATTGGCTTTCCTTGGAACTATTTATAACTCACCTCAAATAACTCAAGGAAAAAGCGCAAAAAAAACTTATGTAGGAATTGTTGAGCCCTACTTTTGTCACTGTTGCTCTGCCTAAGACTGTTGTGACAAATCAGTTGACAATGCAGCAAAACCGAGTAGCAAGAAGTTTGACGAACAGAGGTAGTGATGCCCCAAGCAAGTTTCTACTGCATAATGGTCGCTAGAAGACTCAGGAGTAGCATGTTGCTTATGAATCAAAATTGATGGCTTTTAAATCTCTCTTCAATTTATGCGTAATTTATCCACAAGCAATGCATTATGTACAAAAAAGATTAAAATGCATCGATGTTATTTGAAAATCTCACTTCGTGTATCAGGTCTCCATTTTCAGCGTGAACTTGCGCAAGGGCCCCGAATTCCCGACATGCTTTGAAGGCGTGGTACAGCTGCCAAAAATTAAATTTGTTTATCAAAACTCAGACAAATGCAAAGAATAAACAAAAAATAAAATGTGATAAACCGATAAAACGTGATGAAAGCATGGAATAAGAACTACGAAAGAGAAATTAAATGATAAGAATGAAAGTGGCGTAGACAAATGACGTGTACTTTAACGAAAGTAAAGTTGCAAAAATCAGTTATTACATTGATATTTTGGGTGAGCGTGACTCAAATAATCACAGTTTGCTGTGCAGTTGTCATTGCAGGGGTGCTCTGCGGAGGAGGTCGCTCATGATCATTCCTCTGTTAAAATCATTTATAGATAACAAGGGCTCCCATTATTATTGAATTTTTTACCCAACCATATCCACTTTATATGTGATAGCAGACAGAATACCATCTAAATATTTGTGAGCATTGGTGTCACTGCAGACAAAGCATAATGCTACAGTTGTCCCTGTTTGGGTCCAAATTCTACGTGACATTGAAATGTAGAATGATTTCAAGCTGTTGGCAATGATTGGAATTGACTGTGCTGCAGAATATTTATGCATGCGAAGCTGCAACACCAACCTCTCCATCGTCGAGTTGGAAGACATCTTTATAAGCCATAAATGCTTTAAACGAATTCACGCCTTTATCGCTGGTCAGGATTTGCATCTCTTTT